CTCCATTATGTATGCGGCTAAGGCCACCATCTCCATTATGTATGCGGCTAAGGCCACCATCTCCATTATGTAAGCGGCCAAGGCCACCATCTCCATTATGTAAGCGGCTGAGGCCACCATCTCCATTGTGAAAATGGCTAAGGCCATCGCCAATAAACACCGACCCCGCTCGACGATGACGGACAACGCTTCAACAACAGTTGAAGTTACATCCTATCGGCTAAGGCCATCGCCAGTAAACGTCGACCCCGCTCGACGATGACGGATAACACTTCAACGACAGTTGAAGTCACATCCTATTGGCTAAAGGCCATCGCCAATAATCGTCGACCCCGCACGACGACGACGGACAACATTTCAACAACAGTTGAAGTTACATCCTATCGGCTAAGGCCATCGCCAGTAAACGTCGACCCCGCTCGACGACGACGGATAACACTTCAAAGACAGTTGAAGTCACATCCTATTGGCTAAAGGCCATCGCCAATAAACGTCGACCCCGCTCGACGACGACGGACAACACTTCAACAACAGTTGAAGTTACATCCTATCGGCTAAGGCCATCGCCAATAAACACCGATCCCGCTCGACGATGACGGATAACACTTCAACGACAGTTGAAGTTACGTCCTATCGGCTAAGGCCATCGCCAGTAAACGTCGACCCCGATCGACGATGACGGACAACACTTCAACAACAGTTGAAGTTACGTCTCGGCTAAGGCCATCGCCAATAAACGCCGATCCCGCTCGACGACGACGGACAACACTTCAACAACAGTTGAAGTTACGTCCTATTGGCTAAGGCCATCGCTAATAAATGTCGACCCCGCTCGACGACGACGGACAACACTTCAACAACAGTTGAAGTTACGTCCTATCGGCTAAGGCCATCGCCAATAAGCGTCGATCCCGCTCGACGACGACGGACAACACTTTAACAACAGTTGAAGTTATGTCCTATTGGCTAAGGTCGTCGCCAATAAACGTCGACCCTGCTCGACGACGACGGACAACACTCGACGACGACGGATAACACTTCAATGACAGTTGGAATTACATCCTATTGGCTAAGGCCATCGCCATCGAGCGCCAGCCAAGCTCGACTATGACGGACAATATTTAAACAAAGATTAAAATTTCGCCTTATTTATTCACTAAGATCAGGTTTTGACTTATCTACGACGGCGGTTAGCCCCAGGGGACCACCCCCGAAACTGCCTGTACTACTTCGGCGCTACCCATAGAGGCGACGAATCTTCTACAAACAAACGAATATCAACTCTGCGGAGGTGAAGTTCCGACAAACAAAGAACAACACAAAAAGAATAGCAACAAAAGTATGATTCTTACACTGTGACAAAAAATTATATACATTCAGTCCCGCAAAGGGCCCCCATTACATTCCACAAAAAAAGCAAAACGTATACAAATCTTAAGGAGCCTCGCCATCTTGTCCATCGCCCCCCGTCTGCTCGCCTTCTCGACCATCGCCACCAAGGTGATAAGCTTCATTGAACCATGAGTCGGAGTCAAGCCGGTTAACATCCTCCGAAGCGTAGCCCTCTCGATCAGGGGAGTCGGAGTTGTACCCGCAAACTGCCCGAGCGGCATGAGCCTTGCGCCACTGCTCCTGGACTTCCTCCTCAGAGGCACGAGCCGTAATGAGAAGTTTCTTGTATATGTCCAATTTTGCCTCTGCATAAACCCACATCTCGTGCGCATCACGACGCGCATCCTCATCAGATAAGAGCAGGGAAGAAGAAGGTCGAGCCATGTCCCCAGGCCTTGGTGGGGCAGTACACTTGAGAACATCAACCTCAGCCACCTTGGCTTCGAGTTCGGCTGTCAAAACTGCCACCCTATGGTACAGATCGGCAACCTCTGTCGCCACCCCACGACTGAGCTCCAACTCCTCTTCCCTCAATTTGAGGAGTGATTCCAGCTCACTATTACGAGCCACGACCTTCACCAACTCCTCATCAGTCTTCTCCAGCTCCGCCACCCTGCGCTTCAATTGCGCCTCCTTCTATTCAAGGCCTTCCCGGAACACCCGAAATTTGGGATCCTGCTGGAAAAGGTCCACCGCCGCCTGATGCTTGGAACGGCACCTCTTATACTTCTTCACCATTTTATCAAAAAACGGTCACTTTCTTCTCCTCGCGACACCTCCTCTCCACCTCCAAAACCAGGGTCTAAAAAAAACATGAGTTAGTACACATCAAGGTCAACCTCACGACACGCGGAAGAACAGACAGTTACCTGTAACGCCATACCGGCGACCCTCCGAGATAACTCCGCATCACTGACAGCACTCAGCATCTCACGCTTAGGGGCGGCACACAGTAAAGTCATCTCCAACGCAACCCGCTCGTTGTGCTGTAATAAATTGTAAGCCCCTAGAATCACGATGCGGCGGCCAGACCCGTCCGTCGTCATCTCCACATGCGTAATGCCTTCCGTCATCTCGTCCACGTCCTCTTGGGCGATCTCAGGATCCGGTCCCTCAGCAACTCGAACTGAGCTGGTACCGATATTAGCACTTGCCTGATGGGCCGGCCTCCCCGAACGAATGACGTCGGCCATGAAGACCGGTTTAGATGTTTGACGAGGCACGTCACTCCTTTCATCCCCAGTCGCCATCGCCTTACCCGTTTCAAGCCTCCGCCTTTTTCTCTCCTCAGGCTCCTCGCCCTCGGAAGGCTCATCCACCGGTTGCTGGGATGACGTCGACGGCATCACTTCACTCGTAGCCACCTTCACAGGAGTAACTTTTTGTAAAGGAACTACGGGCACACCCTCCCTGACAGATGCGCAAAGTACCTCCTGAATATTCGGGCCGACATCTGATCGGGCGGAGGTAGATACCGTCACCTTCTTCTTAGGAACATTTCGACCCGTCGATACAAATAGTTTAGTTGATAAGGTTTGTGGAAACGACTGATTAAAGTCGAAGAAGTACCTGAAGGGCCCATGGGGCCGTAGCGTTGAGGAATTCGGACCATGTGCGGGTTTCTTCTACGAAAGGCAGCAAACCGGCTACCCACTGCTTGATATCAGTAATGAACCGGGGTGTGTGAGCAATTGCTGCAAAATAACAGGAAAAATCATAACGATGGTACGACCAGAACCGCTAAGGTCACGTACGATAAATAACTCGACGGATGGAAACACTTACGTTTCGGATTCCACCTCTCTGGGAACCCGACGGGGTTAGATACCAGATGCTCCGTTCTGATAAAGAAGTACCTACGCCAATAACCATGGTTAGCCCGATCATCGGTCTGGACAACCAGCCCCTTCGAGTCGCGATTCTTCAAATGCAACATGGTACCCCTTAGGTAGCTGGCGCTAAATAACTGCAAAAGGTGGTGGACAGAGATCTCGCACCTAGCCAGCTCTGCATATGTAAACACTATCCTATATATCTTTAAGGTGTACAGAGTAAGTTGGGAGGGACACATGTTGTAAAAGCGGCAAAGCTCCTCCGCCAAAGGAAAGATGGGAAGGCCATAACCGATTAAAAAGGGATATTCATAAAACGCGCAATATCCCGGTCTGTGGGCGTTCGCATAATCCGTTCCCGCTAAGATCATCTCCACATGAGCGGGTATGCCGAACGACGTGCGAAGGCTATCTAAGTCATCCTGCGTTAACTCAGATTTCTCCAAAGGTTGCTCGGGAGAATCCCTTTGGAAGTCCCTCCTAATAAGAAGTTGCTTCGGTAGCACGTTGTGCACGGTAAGAGGGGTGAGGTCCTCCCCCCTTTCTCCCTTATCACCGCCGGATGGAGGCGGCACATCGGATGGCATATCATCACGAGCCCCTGGATTGTTATCCCGTCTGGGTTTTGTCATGATTTTCGTTTAGGGAGCGGTGTACGACACAACCAAAAGTGTACTTTAAGAGAAACAGTGGGTTTTCGAAGAAAGGGAGTGCTTTCTTAGATAGTCGTAAAACGTTTGCAAATGATCGAAAGTTGGATTAAGTTAAACCCTTTCCCTATTTATAGGGTTGGGTGGCGTTGAAATCGAAGAGGCAAGGTCCAAACAGGCGCGGGAAACCGAGCATCAGAACACCTTTTGTACTTCCTCGGGAATACGCGTGATGATGACACATGCGTATGATGACATCACTTTAGGAAAGGGGTTGCGCGCCAACATTTCAATAAATTCAAATGATCACTTGTTCGCGCTGCCGTCTTCGAGCATGGTCAAATTCTCCCAAAACAAGGTTCACGGTTCCGTCCATCGGGGACGCACTTCGATGCGTCACCGACGAATGGAGGGACTAACTGTATGGGGTCGAATTCTGCCCACTACGGTAGTAACGACCCACGACTACACGATAGCCGAAATGAGGGCACGACCTAAGAATGTCGGGGTGAAGTGTATCATCGGTCTCGTCGTTTCCTCGAAAGAACGTGACTAATCTCTGTGTTATTTTATTATTTCAAAGGGGTTCACCTATTATATAAAGAGGGATCCCAATGTTGTAAAGGCATATGATCTTTTTGGAACAAGCTTTTTCTCACTCTCTCTCTCTCTCTTTCTTTTTCTCTCTTGAATATCCAATCTATTGAAAGCAATAACAAACATAATACATATCTCTAGGTCTCATTATCTTCGATTACGATTTACCTTTGATTCATTTTGATTGTATTCACTTGCAAAGTAATTATTATCTTTCGAGTCAAACAGCTGCCCAGCCCACTGCCGCCTCTCACCGTAGTGGATCAGTTTCAGACTTCACTTTTATGGCGACTCCCCATCTTTGTGTTTAGGGGTGTCAAAATGGTTTTAAAAAACAGTTAACCACCCATATTATTCGTTAAAGTATGAATCGGATAATGAATATGTTAAAAACGAATCAAATACAAATATTATCCATATATTAAATGGTTAACCACTAGTTATCCATGGGTAATAAAGTCAAAAGCTCCCCAGAAGCATTTTCGCCCCTCACACTTTCTCATTTTCTCTCACGCAGTCGCGCTCAGTTGCCTTCCCCTCCCCCCCCCCCTCCCCAAAAAAAAATTTTACCCCAACAAATTTTTCTCACTTCAGTTTACCGCTAACTCTCAAATTGCTCAAATCACCTAAATTCTTTTGAATGTCTACCATTTTTTGAAAGATGGGAAGCAAAAATGGTGGATATGGCTGACAGTAGCAGTGCCGTTAATGGTATTGGTTTTCCACGGTGACATTGTTACTTTATTTCTTTTGGTTTTTTCTTTGGTTGAAATTTGATCTAATAATAGATAAATGATGTTGTAGGCTATGGCATGGAGGGCAGTTGATTCATGACTGAAATTTCACTTCTTTTCTTTCTTCCATATTGAATTTCGTCACAGATTAACGGTGCAAAAGGTACCAACTTTCTTATATTTTTGGGGTCCATTTTCTATGGTAAGATATGGCCGATTCCCTGCTACACTTGTTATTGGTTTCATCTTTTAGAGTTAAATGTAAAGATTGGGAAATTTCTTCAGAGTTCTATTCTCTGTTCTTTTTCATCAGTATGTGATTGAATTCTATTCATCTGTTTGTTTTTATCATTATGCAATTGAATTCTTTTTACTTCATCTTTAGGTAGAGATGTCAATGGAAGGTATTGATGATTCTTTTGAACAAAGCTCTTCAACTACGCAAAAACGAGCAAAAAGACAAACGTCTACTGTTTGGGATTCTTTTGTTAAGGTAGTAGAGCCTAGTATTTATAGTGATGGAAAGATTAAAGTCAAATGTACGCTTTGTGAAAAAGACTATATATACGTTTCTAAATTTGGAACATCGAATTTGAAGTGTCATTTGGTTTTAAAACATCCATTGGATAATGCAAAAGAGGGACAAAGTGCACCAATAGATCAAAAAATTTATCGGGAGAAAATGTCATTGGCCATAGTCAGGCATAACTATGCTTTCAATTTTGTTGAACATAAAGGCATCAGGGACCTTCATTTATACTTAAATCCGGTTGTCAAGCACATATCAAGAAACACAGCCAAGTCAGATATCTTGAATATGTATGCAGGGGAAAAAGAACTTTTGAAAAGTGAGCTTGCAGTTATTCCTAGTAGAGTATGTTTAACATCAGACATGTGGACTTCAGTAGCATCTAATGGGTATATGTGCGTTACGGCCCATTATGTAGATTTAAATTGGGTTCTTCAGAAGAGGGTGTTGATTTTTCGTCATGTTCCTCCTCCACATTCGGGCGTGGTTTTAGGTCCCTTATTGATTAGCTTTCTTAAAGAATGGGGAATCGAAAAGAAAATCTTTACCCTTACTTTGGATAATGCTACTTGCAATAATGGTGTAGTGGATAATTTAAAAAACCATTTGTCTTTGATGCGTTCACTAGTTTGCGAAAGTATCTTCATGTCCGTTGTGGGAATCACATTTTGAACTTAATTGTTAAGACGGGCTTAGAGAAGGCTGATGCAGCTATTACAAAAATTAGAGGTGTTAAGTTTAGACAAGAGGGGTTGCTCTGATGGTAAGCAACCTCCACTTCCAACCAAGAGGTTGTGAGTTCGAGTCTCCCTAAGAGCAAGGTGGAAAGTTCTTGGGAAGGATGCCGAGGGTCTATTTGGAAACAGCCTCTCTACCCCAGGGTAGGGGTAAGGTCTGCGTACACACTACCCTTCCCAGACCCCACTAAGTGAGATTGTACTGGGTTGTTGTTATTGTTGTTGTTGTAGAGAAGGTGTAAGTATATCAAGAATTCAGAAACAAGAATAATGAAATTTGTGGAGTGTCTGAGTAATCTTGGTCTACCATGTTCTAAGAAGCTATGCCAAGATATGCCTATTCGGTGGAATTCCACTTATCAAGAAAGTAATCTTGGTCTATCATGTTCTTTGTGCTCTTTCTAATCACTCTTTCCGTTTGGAAATCTTTGGTTGCAGATATTGTGTTGCAGCGAAAAAGGATGCAGTCTCTGCGAGACATTGTACCGGCTGCATTGAACAACATAAACACAAAATTCATTGTCTTGGACAAAGGGAGGATAGCTATGGAAGGACAACAAAAGATGTGTTTGGCACTAGTGGCGGATGAGACAGCTGCAGTTCACTTTCAGATGTGGGGTGATGAGTGTGATACTTTTGAGCCTGGGGACCTTAGCCGGTTAAATGGCATCTTCTCTTATAACCGCAACAACCTACTGCTAAGGGCAGGTAAGCGAGGCAAGGCAGAAAAGGTGGGAGAGTTTACCATCGCCTGCATGGAGACACCAAACATGAGCGAGATACGTTGGGTCCCTGATCCTAGCAATTCTAAGATATATGTGCCAGAGGCTGTTATTTCTCCCTTTTCACGAGTGTTTCCACCAATGAATTGAGTATTTGGCAATCTTCTTTCTTACAGGGTTTCCCAGGTATTCTGAGAATTGACAAACATGCACACCTGATCTAAAACAGCTTCCTCGCCTTCGATTCATCAAGGTATTTTCCTTCCAAAAGCTGCATTTTTGATTGTAGCACTTGAAGAGTGATCAGATTGCCACACTCACCTTTATTATGGATTCTGAGATATCTGTTTGATCAAGATCATAGAAAGGCAATGCTACTCTGGATCAAATGCAGGTGTTGGCCAAATTAAAGTTAAGTTTGGTCAAGAAAACTTGGACTCAGGTTTACTTGATGCATGAATCAATGTCTGGTGTAACATTCAATCTTGAGCTGAATCATCTTATTTGTTTTCGCTTTTTTATAGTATTTTTAAGTCTTTACTTTTATGGATTTCTTGTGGACAACTCAACGTTTAGCCCCCACAAAAAAGGGAGTGCATCGACGATGATGTAGTTGTAGCAATCATCATACAAGGCAGTTGGTCATGCAAGCATTAGAAAAGTTTCTCTCTGCATTCTTCATAAAGTCTTTCAGAATGATTTTGGGAAACAATTTCTGAAACACTCGTAAAACTTCTTAGGTTTTCTCAACAATAAGTTGCTAGAATAAAGCATCTTCATTCATCATCAAACATAACAAGAAGCATGATATCACAATATTTTTTTCCTTGTCTCAGTAATAACACAAAGAACCCTTCTTTAAACTACGAAGAGTACTTCTTCATGTCGTAGTGATAACACAAGTTAATAACACTATACTATTAAATAACTACCAGAGTAGAAGACTGAGAAGAGCTTAAAGAGATGGCAATCTCACTGCGTAGCTTTCACATCAACGTCAGAATCAAGAGTTGTATTATCACCTGCCAAAAAATAAAATAATAATTATACTAAAGAAATGCAACGCAAACAAATTTATAGCAGCATTTTTTCTCAGCATCACTTGTCTATATGCAAAACAATTTTGGCAGTTCCAATCTGCAGAGAGCAAAAATCTAGAACCAGAATGCAGACCTTGCTTTCGACAAAGACAAGTTGCAATGAAACGGCATTTGGATTTTTTAGGTATAACATAATTTTGAAAGAATTTGCCAAATGAACCTAACTAGCTGCTGACAAATGAGTGGAAACTAAAGAACCATCATCAAAGACATGATGCTCATATAAAGATGGACCTGAAGTTTCAAGAATCTCAACCCTCTTTTGGCTAAGTATTAGATACAAAAATTGTGGACTAGACCAAAGACCTAAAAATGCCTGTGTGTTAGGTTGTCCCAGTAAGAACATTTGAATTATTTTACTTATCAAAGAAGAATTTGACTTCACAACAAATCCTACCTAACCTATATATGCAGATAGCCTCTTAAGAAGTGGGTTGCTTAAAAAGACAAATTCCAACTCATTTATTGAAGTACGACTAATGAGTTGTGTGAATCATGTCTAAAAAAGCTTATATTGTTATAAAAGGATACTGTTTTCCGATGCATACCTGATTTGTTTTCTTATTTATATTAGCAATGCGCCTTCTCCGATGCATACCTGATTGGTTTTCCAGGACAACCACGTAAAAATACTTTTTAATATAATGGCTATGAGATTCGACGTCCCTTAGCTCCGATACCATCAGAAAGAATAAGTGAAACGACAGAGAAGATTTTGAGAGACTAGTTTATAATGCACAGTTTATTATAACTATAGCTATATATATTTATGCGATGTATAACAATATGTTACATAAATTATAGTAACTATTTATGTTTACTAACAACAACACAGTCAAAGTATAGTCTCTTTTTTGTTGATAACCGAAAATATACTTAAGAAAAAAGTATAGTCTCTCTTCCAATAGCTAACCCTCTAGATATTGTTTCACCATAAGTCAATGAAAATGATGATAGTGGGAGGGAGTAGTGGACGACTCTGAGTAAAGAGGAGCGATTGAGTTTCAAGGCGAAACCCCGGTTGGCCTCCCCGCCATTATGCAATTCCTATGGTCTAATCTCCAAAATTGAAGGTCAGATGACTAAGGAGTCAGCACATTGATTTATGCAAAGATACTCCTTCACTCTCTTGTGAACAACTTGAAAAGAAATAAAACAAAGGCGTATGAAGGAACATAGAGCTATTTTCAGGGATATTTGGAACTTCACCACTTCTTTAAACCTTTTTACTAAACATGAACTTTTTCTAATCATTTAGATTATTCGATGCTTTTTCTAGGAAGCTGCCTTTTGTCCCAACACATTCTACTTTCTAAACAACTTGTATTCGAGGCTTTCCCCTTTTTTCATAGCAAACCTTACACAACCATAAAGGCTCTTAAAAGTGAACTAGTAGTCGTCCTAACCGCACGATGCGCGGTCAATATTAAAAAATATTAATTAAATTAAATTATGATCGGACTTGTTTGATCCTATTAGATTGTATTGCTTTAATAAAATTCAATTATCATCTTACTTGTCAATAAGATATTCTAATATCATCGAAGTTTGATAGAGTCTAGAGTAGAGGTGGTCATATGGATGTTGATGCCGCAGCTAACACTCTGAATTTTAGGACGTGGAAATTAGAAACAGAATGTATTAAAGAAATTTATCAGGCTATTGGTTACCTATAGCAATATCAGATAGTAAATTCTATGCGTTCTTGTATAACTTGATGAAGTTTGGCCAATAGTTAATTATTGAAATAGAACAATCTTATGCATTATAAAACTTCAAAACAGAAATCTCACGATTTTTCCTTTGCCAACAGAGAAAGCAGTCTAATTTAGCCAACAACGCATATAGATCACACAGAATGTTAGTCGTAAATACACACATTGTTCACTTAGTCGCATACAGTAGCTTCTCCCGTTATTTACGTTCCCCCCCCCCCCCCCCCCTCTCCAGTTAGTTACTTTATCTATCATTTTCAACTTATGTAATCCTCAATATATAGCATTTCATTTGTCTATTTAAGGTGCTTATTTTGGTCAAAGAAAGGAACTGAGCATTCCAAGATTTGTTTTCATTCCAAGATTGGGGTATTAGTAATTCTCAGCTTATTTTGATGTCAACTTATTATTCATTTTAGAAAGCATTCTGATATCTTATTAAATAAAGAACTCTAAGGTCTTGTTTATTTTATTAATAAACAGAAACATGGACAATCTAGAGCGTGATTGGATGTACAAAAGGTTGGATGGCCGAGGGGGTATTAATTCAAGTTTCATAACTGGTGTGAACAAGTTTCTCCAGTTTGCTTGTTCTCAGCGCAATCGCATGAGTGGTGACAATGGTAGATGTCCATGTAAAAAATATCACAACATTAAATACATGGATGTTGAAACTATTAAATTGCACCTTTATCAGTATGGATTTGTTAAGAACTATTTTCTTTGGAAGTATCAAGGAGAAAAAAATGTGGCTGGTGAGATGTCTTCTAGTGGTGATTTGCATGGTGGCGCTCCACCTGAATCGGAATATGGGAATCCATATCGACAACTTGGATGCAGCTGGACCAATTTTTACCATGGTTTGAGCTGGCAGTCTTATAATAATACTGAACATGTGTCGTCTCATTCTTATTAACCTTCAATGGATGCGGAGCCCAATCCTTCAACGGAGGAGGAGCCTAATCCTTCAATGGAGGAGGAGCCAAATCTTGAGTGCCAAAGGTCTTATGATTTGCTACAGGCCGCTAATGCAAAATTATACCCTGGTTCTTCCCTCTCTCAACTCGTAGTAGTTTCTAGGATGCTAAATATTATAATGAAGAATACTTTATCACAAAGAGGTTATAACCAAATGATGAAATTGTTGAAAGAGGCGTTACCAGAAGATAACACAATGCTTGATAACTATTATGAGACCAAGAAGCTAGTGCGTAGCTTGTGTTTGCCGGTTGAAAAGATTGATTGTTATAATTCTGGATATATGTTGTATTGGGGTGAAGATGAAGACCTCACATCTTGCAAGTTTTGTGGCCACCAGAGGTACAAACGTCGTGTCGGTTCTCGTAAGAGAAAATTAATACCTTACAAAAAAATGTATCATTTTCCTTTGATTCCTAGATTACAGAGATTATATGCACCTCATCCTACAACTGCTGATATGAGATGGCATCATGAGAACATACAAGAGGAGGGCGTAATGCGTCATCCATCAGACTCTAAGGCTTGGAAGCACTTCAAAGAAACTCATCACTTTTTTGCTATTGAACCAAGAAATGTGAGGTTGGGATTATGTACTTACGGTTCAGCCCTTTGGTCATTTAGGAAGGAAATACTCTTCATGGATAGTGATTGTCACTCCATACAATTTGCCTCCAGGGATGTGTATGAAATAGGCGTACATGTTCTTAACTGTCATTGTTCTAGGGCCAAACAACCCTAAACAAAAAATTGATGTTTATCTACAACCTTTAATAAAAGAATTGAACTTGTTGTGGGAGACGGGTGTAGAAGCATTTTACATATCAAAAAAATAAAATTTTCAATTAAGGGCCGCTTTGATGTGGACAATCAATGACTTTTCAGCATATTCTGTGTTATCTGGATGGAATACTGCCAGTAACTTAGCATGTCCTTAATGTATGGAGAAAGCAAAATCCTTTAGATTACGTCATGGTGGGAAAACAACTTGGTTTGACAGTCATAGAATGTTTCTTGACCAAAATCATCCATTTAGGAGAGATTGTAAAATTTTTCGTAAAGGTCAGACTGTCAGAAGGCTACCACCATCCCTTAGAATAGGAGAGAAAATCTTGAACCAAATTTGTGAGTTGGGACTGAGGAAAGTAACTGAGCTACATGTAGAAGAAGTTAATGGGAGAATTTCTAGGTGTTGTGGATGGAAAAAGAGAAGCATCTTTTGGGATTTGCCTTATTGGAGCTCTAACATGATCCGACATAATCTCAATGTCATGCATATTGAGAAGAATGTCTTTGATAATGTATTTAACACAGTTCTTAATGTTGATGGAAAAACAAAAGACAATCCAAAGGCACGTGAAGATATGGTAAACTATTGCGATCGACCGCAATTGGCAAAGAACCCTATTGATGGAAGCTATCCCAAAGATGCATATACAATAAAGAAGAATAAAAAAATTGCCTTGTTCAATTGGTTGGAAAATTGCCTTTTTTTTGTCTTTTTCTTTTGTCTCTGTTTTTTTTCAAAACAAGTTGCCCCAGCTTCTATTTTCTGTGGGCATGGACCTTTGACTGTTCTTTTCTTCTTCATATTTTTTTTTCTTGAACTTTCTATAATTGCCCCAGTTTGTACTCTTGGGACATGGACTTTTATTGTTATTTCATTTTTATTTTTTTATTTTTTTGACTTTTGACTCTAAACTTGATTCCAAAAGAGGGTGGTCAAAGAAAATAACACAGGCTCAAAGGGGTGACAAAGGGTATAAAGTATTTGGGTAGCAGAAAAAGGGCCTCCCAACCTCGAGAACGCCAAACATAGTATCTTTTCACGATCACAGCATTGACAAACATGTCTATCTTCTT